AATAATAATAATAATAATAATAATAATAATAATAATAATAATAATAATAACAACAACAACAATAATGCACATAAAGAAAGACATTTAAATATCGCTAGATACTTCAGACTTGTTAAAGCTATTGGAAACTACTTGGCTGAATAATTTCTTAACCTGCCAGGTGGAAAGGTTGTATATTAATTGTGTTAAACAATGAACTTTAAAATGCCTACTTTAAAATTGCACAAGGCAGCTTAATCGGCTGGAGGAGTTCTTTTAGAGTGGAATTTAGAAACTCTGGATATTTTATTACTTCTGCTCAGCTGTGATTGGACAATAGTGACATTACTAGGTTTCTAATAGGAGGCTTGGGAGGGACTGTTTGTGTTGTCAGGACATTAAACAAGAGCTTATCCAGTAGATGAAAGATGGCATATAGCTTGTTCTTTGTGAATCACAATAGTGTTCAAACCCCATCCTTGTTTATTCAAAAATAAGTCAACAGTCATTTGAGCTTTTCTCAACAGGATGTATAGCAGTCTGCATCATTAACACTCAGAATACTGCTGATTCTTTCATCAAGAATCAGCAGTGTGGACCTCATATTTTGGTCATAGAATTAAGAATAGGCATATTATTTCCCGTATCTACTTTTTATTGTTATGATTGCTCAATTAAATGTGTGATTATTCAGAAGCTTATCCAATGAGTTCAATGGGAATTATGCCCAGGAAAATGTACAGGTCTATAAGCTAAGTAGTTTACCTTAGACATTATTTCAGTGTATACTTGTAATATGTCTGACACAGGAAAAACTCAAAACTTGTGAAACTATCATGGAAGTGGAAGAATGCTGAAGGATTTTATGGCAGCAAAGGAATGGTAATTAACGTAACAGGCTAGCTGCTGAAATACTCTGAACTTTGTGTACATACAAGTTGATGCTGCCTTAGTGACAGCCAAATACATTTTAAAAGGTTTTTATACAAATCTAATCACTAAAATTTAATTCCATGCAATTCATAAAAGATAAGGTCTATCTTCCAAATTTTGGAAGCTTTAGGAAAAAATAGAAGGTCTTTCTATTTCTAACTGAAATAGTTATTTTCTCTCTCTCTCTCTCTCTCTCTCTCTCTCTCTCTCTCTCTCTCTCTCTCTCTCATTCCAATATTTCTTTCCTAAGAATTCAGTATAATCCAGTGTAACTTTCACTTCCAAGCATTAAGAAATAAAACAAAAAAAAATTTTTTTAACTGAAGCACATGCTAAACCTTGGAAACAATGAGGTCTTTCTTGTATACTTTAATCAAACACATGGCAGCAAGAAGCTTCAGTTAAAGCTTTACTTTTTCTGTCTATCAACCAATAACAGCAAATAATCTATATCTATGCAACAATTGTAGTAAGAGGTGTCATTTTAAGGATGATATTATTGCTAGACAAATAGACAGACAGTAAATGAATGGTACTTTAAAACAGATAATCTGCTTTCCAAAGAACAGTGTGCAACCAGGGTAATTCTCATCACAGCACCTCTATTTCATACTGTTCTTTGTATGCTCACTTTAATGAAAGTTTGCACCGATTGTCATTTGTTCTGTAGAAACCTACAGAACTCCAAAAACCTTGACAGATGGTGTTTTGAAGGATGTTGCCAGGTAGCTGGTGTGAATCCCACATTAGCATTCTCTCTGGCTTTCAGAGGCAGCTCACCTTAGTCTCTTTTTAATATTCACATATGCTCACCTACAGCTACACTCAGGGAGGCAAAAAAATAGTATGGCATTAGTTTATTAAGGCTTCTAATTAATTCAGAGTGAAACTCTAGCCTTTAAGAGGAAAGTCACATGCAAACTTATTTTATTTCTAGTTTTGAATTACTTGTATATTTTAATTCCCTTTCATTTTTTACTGCCCCCCCCCTACACTTGTGACATTCACATTGTGTCTCAGTAGATACTTCCCCCTGCTGGGAAAGGTTCAAATTACATCTACAAAGTATTGGAGGGAAACAAACACATTTTATTGATTGCAGGGCTCTAAAAGAAAAACCCACTATAAAGGCACACCTTGGTAAATCTGACTCCTATAGATGTATAATTGAAGAAGACCTGAAGATTTGTGAGTGAACATAATGTGCTTAATGACAGCCAAATTATAGGTAAAGGAATTGTAAAAAGCATCAACTGAAGTAATATATTTGCTTGTCCATATATGATCTTTTTTTTTTAAAGTGAGTACCGTAGTTATTTTCATTTGAACATCTGGTCATAGTTTTCCTGATGGTCAATATAATTGTGTGACTGTCTGAATTCCTTTCCAATAACAGGTGCTCAGAATTGCCTCAAATGATGAGTGGCAAATAAATTTAATAATAATAATATTAGGACACTGCTCCCAAAACAAAATAAATCATCTTTCGTAATGTACATGGAAAGGAAAGATAAGTAGATTATACAAACTTAGTAATATTGAACTCATGCTTAGGCAAAAAGTTCAAAGAAGATTTTTTTTAATATTATTGGTTCTTTAATCTCTAATTTCAAAATAAAACTATATCATTATACAGTTTTAATTAGCAATCATCTACTGAAATAATTCAGCAGATATTTCTGAAATGGATCTCCATTTTATATTCCACAAGGGTAGGGTAAACTAAGAATATAATAGTTGAAGTTAACAAATCCAAACAGCAGTAAAGTAAAATGAAAGTTTTGCAAAATAATAAACGCAGTAACAACCTGTCTTTTCCTATATAAAACTGACCCAGGCAATGAGTTTTGATTTGTTTTGTTTTTAAACCATGATACTGATCTTTAATGAGGTTGTTGCCTTTGTCTTTGTGTAAATACATTTCTGTGGAAACTTCACCTGTCAACTCAAGTCTGACCCTGACCACAATGAAGAGGAAAAACCCACTATGAATGCAAAATGATTAAATAAATCCATAAGGAAAACAAAGTGATTATTATGGTGGCCATCCTGACATTCTTTAGTAAGTTGCAACATCACGTTTTGAAATGCAAAGCTTTTAATTCGTTACCCAGCAGGATATATCTGAAAGTCGATCCAAAATCTTCAAAATACAACTGCAAGGCAACGTTCCGTTGAAAGCTATGCCTCTTGTTATCAGCACGGTTACATTTCACAAAATGCCTAATTGTTGCTGATTAATCTACAAAAGGAACGAGGGTTCTTCCAGGGCTCCGCTATGGACACTAAATTCCCGGCTTATTGCACAGTGTTTCTCCGGAAATCTGTCAGCAGCTCTGCTTAGCCTTGTACTTGACAAAATGCTGCCAAAATCCAGCATCCCTCCCTGCTCAGGTTTTTGTTCTGGTGACCTTATAGTGTCAGAACTAAAGAAGTGCGCTGATGCCACATAAAAGGCAGAAGTCCCCGGGTCTCTTCCCTCCTGCACTTTCTGACTTGCTGGTGCCCTGTAATTTCTAAAGCAATCAGTCCTTCCGTTTCAGCCGACTCTGCCTCTGCAACCTCTCTGCCTCTCTCCGAAAGAATGCCAGAGAGAGCGAGAGCTGCGCTCTCCTCCGCTCTTCCTAACGGGGACAGATCTGCCTGTTTCTATGTCCTGAACCCATCTCGGTGTAACCCGCACCGAATGGCAGAACGCAGCAGCGGTGGCAACAGGGAACCTCGGCAGAAGGAATGGCAACAAGCAATCCGCCAACAAAAATCCGCCAGACTCGAAGAGAGGAAAGCCAAGACTTACCTTCCGCCAAAAGGCGCATTGCATGAACAAAGGACGGGTCTAAGCTATCCTTCTCAGCCATCAGCTCGGGTAAATATTTCTCTTGCTCCATTGTGGGTTCGCCTACACTTTGGACCGGCTGCCCGCCCAAGGTAGCGCGTGGAAAGGGAACTCGCTCACTAAAGGCTTTGTTGGCTTCGATTCGTCTCTTGCCCTTCTGTGCTTGTACTTGGGACGGGCTCACTTCCCCATGTGCGTGGTGGCGGTCGCGGGTGCGCTGCTGCTTCAGGACCTTGGACAGCGGCCCCACCACCACCACCGCCCCTCCGCCGCCTCCCTCTTCACTCGCTCCTTCGAAAAGCGCGTGTGTTGGTTCGCCCGTCTGGGTGCGCTTCCCCCCCCCTCCCACCCCGCACTGAGCTACGGTCTCTTACAGCACCAGAAGCCTTAACAAGGGAGGTTGGATGACCAAGACTTCCTCCCGCCTCCGTCGCCTTCTCATTGGGGAAGGCGAGAGGGAAGGCGGTGAGAGACAGGACGACACGGCCTCGGGATTGGGTTCTGCTCCCGCCCAGTCTTCTGACAGGCGTCTGAAAAGCCGCGGGCGCGACGAGATCTGTGACAGATGAGCGAAAGGGGCGGGACAAGACAATCCACTCGCTGTCCAACGTACTGAAGTAGCGAGAAGGACGGGGCAACCTCGAGCCAATATCGGAAAGGACTGCGGGTCGAAGCCGGAGCTGAAATTCGGAAAGCTTCCCTTTTTAACCCGACTATCATTTGTCTGGATAACTCAGTTCTCGGCTAGATTAATTAGAAAAATCTCTAAACGTTTGGCTTGTATTCGGGTTTCACTGGTTGCAAAACCATCCAGTATCATGACTATATGGTGTGGCTTGATTAACAGAAACAGTCATAATCTCTGAAGCCCTTTTATTGTTCATGTTTATTTGTTTAGTTGGCACCGAACAACAGTTCTTCCTCCTTCCTCCGTTCTTTTGTTATGCCTATAAAAGAGAGAGAACTGCTTGTAAAGACCCTCAAAAGTGTCTAGGGGTTCCTTGTTACTGCTGTAATAAATCAATGGGTTGAATACCTCTTTTCCACATTAGTGTCTTAGCATCACTGGCTCTTAATCAAGTGAGTTTTAATTATCTATCTATTCTTTCCATCCATCCATCCATCCATCCATCCATCCATCCATCCATCCATCCATCCATCCATCCATCTATCTATCTATCTATCTATCTATCTATCTATCTATCTATCTATCTATCTATCTATCTATCTATCTATCTATCTATCTATCTATCATCTCAGATTGAACATACTGCTCTTAATGGAAGTTAGAAACCTACATCATTTCATCTAAATTTTGTCTTCAAACCACATAAAAGGAACTGGGTCAGATTTTGACATTTTACAAGGAACACAAATCAGTGTCTTTATTTCATGATTATGGGAGAGATACATAATTCCATCATTAAATAAGCACACAATTTGTCAGTCAGCATGAGAAAAAAGCAAACTTGTGCAAACAAAAATCGAAGTAATGGAAGAGAGGAAGCTCTTTATGGTATGATCTATTCCACTGATCCCATTCAATAAAGACCAGCACTTGGGGTGTGTATGTGTGTGCAGTAGTCACTTCCTTATGATTCATACTGATGTGCTTCTATGCATTGTTAGGCCTGTCCAGCCAACAAGTACTACATTTAATCCAACTATGTCTCTTTAATATATCAGATTTCTTTTCAAGTCTCAGTCCCCTACCTCTCCCACCACACAAAATAAAACTAGAATATATGGCTAGGAACAGAGTAGAAAAATATGTTTTTGCTTAAAAAGTACTAAATCAGAAATACTTGTTATTTTAATTAGAACTGTATATAGGTTGTGTGGGTTTGTGTGTGTTGTGTTATGTACATTTCCTTCAATATAATTTTAACAACGTATTTTTAGCTACTTTGAGAGTATTGTCTTTTTCTTTTCATTTCCACCTTTTATGAAAGAAATATTAACCATTCCTAAATACAGCTTATTCAGCATATAACTGGTTTATATTTTCTTTTCCATGTTTTTTTAGCCTCCAGGTATGATCAGAAATAGCAACTCCACCTATTTTTACAGTCAGAAAACTGAGTTTGGGACACTCAGTCTTAGACTATCAGCTGCAATGTAATGCACCACTGAACTTTTGAGCATCATTTTTAACAGCTGTTGATGCATCAGAAGTGTTTGATTGCATTAACATACCATTCACAATAATTTTGAATCAGAAATGGGTATAAGCTGTGAAAAAGGTACATTAATATCTATACGGTATGCATTTATGTGTTGTATATATATTTTCATCCAATCAATATAAGACATCAGGTGGGAATTTTAATCCTTTAGTCTGGGTTGTAGATTAAAATCCAATTGGCTTTAATTAATTTCAATGTTTTATTGATATTTTGTTTAATTTGTTTGTGTGTATTTTATTGCTTTACTTATCTCCCTGCATTGTACTTGTATGATTTTTATCTATTTAAAGCATCACCTCGTGGACAGGACCAATGTAATATTGCTACATCCACACAGACTTTTTTTTTATCATATTATGATTAATCTCCAGAGATATGTATATAAAAAGAGCACCCACCAAAATTGAAGCATGACTTATAGCTGATGTAAAACCTAAGAACTTAGCAAAAATTGAATTACAAATTGAAAACTGCAGTTCAGCTCTGGATATAGTGGTACATATTATGCTGTTGAATAAATTCTCATGGGATGGTTAGAAACTCCTGGGATTGGTGGCAAATCATATATTCTCTGTCATGAAAAGAAAAAACTTATATGAAAGGACAGCTTTCAGTGGTCAGAAAATAAGGAATCAATTAAAGTTTTTTTAGCCTATCATTTTAACTGAAGGTTTCAATGATGATCTCTTTTGCAATTAAAAAAGCTCATGGTTCAATACCATTCTGCTGCAAAACATAACTGCAATAACTAAAGCTATATGTATGCTTTTATTGATTCAGCCAATTCATGATTGAACTATGGAGCCCACAGGTGGTTCTGGAATCTAGCAGAAAATGTACTCAAAATACCAGAAAGGTATTTCACAGGACCTGAAAATTAGAAACAAAACTTCATTCAGCTCTTGCATACAAAGAAATGTCATGTCAGTCCTTTAAAGAACATTTGTTATTTTTTTTTAGGAATTTTCTTTTAATCTCATGATAAATGAACTTTCAGTATTAAATTTGTTAATAATAATTTGTCCCATAAGTACTCAAAACAATTATGCCCCGGGGTGAGTTCAGCACTGGAATTCTATTGCTGTAAAGTTACTACAATTATTAGTACAATATATAGTTCTTAAACTAGAAAAGCCATATATAAGTTACTCTAGACCTAATTCTAAATTGGTTCCATTTTTTGCATTTTACTGGCTGCTTACGAAAGGCACATCTTTTTCACAAATACATTTAAATGTTGTTTGATGATATTAAATAATTTTCTGAATATATAAAACAAACTTTTAAACATTTTTTAAGCTGTCAGGATCCAAAGTCTGAATATAGCTCAGTTCTAAGGAGTTTTTTATATGTAAACCAGTAGACGGGAATAAATTGAGATTTTAAAAGTACATATGTAAACAGTATCAATATTATTAAAAGTTCTGATTTAGAGAGGTAATTGACTATATACAAGAAATAATAAGACACTAATAGAAAAAAAGAAAATAATAGGATTCTCGCTACTAATAAAAGACCAGAAAGCCATGGCAATGAACATATTAAAATGTAAGGAAAATAGTAAAATTTATAAACAAATTGTGTTTTTTTTTTTAATTTGTATTGGTTTTTAAGACAAACATAGACAAACAAAACATAAAAACATCAAACCATCTTCCATATATATACGTACAGTGTGCCGGTTGGTTTACAAATTGTTTTGTGCTTCCATTTTGTAGTCTTCAATTACAATTACATTGTATATATTCTCATATTTTCAATCAAGTATTAAATACATTAATATCATTGTTAATCAATCATTTGACTATACTTTTATTCATTCATGTTTTACGAAATAATCATATTTTACTTAAATTGTTTTGTGACAGTTCATATTATCATCTCAAATCTATGCTACAATCATTTTGTAGATGTAATAAGAAAAGAATACATCTTTATATATTTATTATTTTCTAAGAATCTACATATTTCATTATCATGCTTTATTTTCTAACCATTGATAGAATGGATCCCAGATTTTATAAAATTGTTTATCATCTTGTTCTCTGATTTCAAATGTCAATTTACTCATTTCAGCACATTCCAATATTTTCTTAATGATTTCCTCCTGTGATGGTATTTTCTCATTTTTCCAATTTTTAGCAAATACAATCCAAGCCGCTGTTAATACATTTACAATCAGGTATTTCAATTCTTTACTATATGTTTCAGGTAAAATTCCCAATAAAAATATCTCTAGTTTCAAATCTATATGCTTTTTTGTCATTTTTTCCAACCACGTGTGGATTTTAGTCCAATATTTTTTAGCATCCACACAAGTCCACCACATATGGTAATACGAGCCAGGTGTCTGATGACATTTTCAACATTTTTCCGATTAGTTCTTGAACATTCTTGCTATTCTTGTCGGGGGAAAATGCCACCTGTAAAACATCTTATACAAATTTTCTTTATATGCTGTTGACATTGTCATTTTATAATTTTTAAACCACAATTTTTGCCATTTCTCTAGATCAATCCCATATCCAAAATTCTTCCACCAAGCAATCATAGTTTCTTTAACTTGTTCTTCTTCTAGTTTAATTTCTAATAAATATCCATGCAATTTTTTAATCACCTTTTCATCAGTAGCTGTCAAAATCTTACCTAAATCAGTCAGTTTATCATAGAAACCTTCTGTTTTAGAGTCTTTATCATACCTTGAATGTATTTGCGCATATGAAAACCAATTCATCTTTATACCTTCTTCCTCTATTTTTTGTATAGACTTAAGTTCACCCTTTTCATTCAATATTTCACCATACCTAACTGTTTGTTCCTTTTTATATATTATAGGATAAGAAAATGCTTCAATAGTTGATAGCCA